GTAATTTTTAACGAGCGACTCTGAATGGTGTTAAAATTCTTTGAATGCTAAAATGTTGTGAATGATGGCTGACTGATAGTACTGTCAAATCGGTGCTACTTGCCGTTTATCAGCATTATGTCCCAATAATGCTCAACAATGTCATGGATTACTCATGCGTTTTATCCGATAATTAAGTATTAGTGACTCGTAATACGGTAACTCATTTCAGTAAATGTAACTCGGCAATTCAATAACGAACGCGAAGGAGTGAATGATAAAAACTAGTCAATCATTAGTTATATTTAATCGTGAGATGACGTACCGAATTCAAATTATTCATTCGTTAAACATTGCCGTTCCAATTGTTATCTGAAACAAATGGAACTAGTGGCGACTTGATAGCAAAGGCCATTCTTGTCGTTGTCAATGTAGCAGAAAATATTTCATGCAAACTTTGTTGATGATGTTCAATTAATTAATTAACATCCTGTAATTTTAGTTTCATGATATTTTGATTTGCAGTTCAACGGCGGTCGAAAATGAGAAGCAAGCACTAGAAGAAACGACGATTGATGTGGACTCAGAAAATGTGATTAATACCGATGGCAACGATTCGACTATGACGAATTGTGAGTCAACTGATCCGCAGACCCAACCCAACAGATCCGCAGATGCTGATGCGTCGATTACGCCTGTTCCGTCGACCAATCGTAGATCCAAGAGAAGGGTACGTAGCACAGTGGTCGTTGAAGATAGAGAACCTGAACAGGAAGAGCTGAAGACGAATATGGATAACGGATCTGTGAATAATACGAATGCAAGCAATGCGAGCAGTTCGGATTCCGGGCCAACTGAATCACCAACTGCACCTCTGACGTCGAGGAACGCCAGACCCAAAAGAAAGGTACGCTTGAATTCATTCACCTCATGTTGAGGAGATCTATTCAATAGACGATATTCATCAGATTGTAGTAAATTCTGCTAAAGTAAAAGCTGATAACAATGACGAGAATTTGACACCAATGATATATTTATTCATCATCGCAGAATGGAATCATTATACAGAACAAGCAAGGACAATTTCCGTGCATATCACTCCGTGCGAACGCTTTCTGATTTGGTGATTTTTAAGCGGTTGAAAATGAGAAAACGCTTACGTACTCAAATAGTTGGGTAAGACAAAAACAACTAAGAAATTAAGCGAATTCTTATTGCTCATTGTTACTGATTTACGTCTATTATGTTCATCTACATAGATCACCGGTCGCGATCTATCAAATTAACAAGATCGAGATTATCTGAATTTTACGTTAACAAATTTCACTGTTGAAAACGCAGCGAAATTCGTAATTGATGATAGATAAGTGAAATCAGCTTAACCTTTCTCCAGATGATTCCGTTGTTCTAAAACTGTTTTCAGAAGGTCTCAAATGAGAAAGATTCGTCAATGTTTGAGTTGGTATGTACAAAAGTGGTGGATGATGAAGAAGATGCTGAAACTGATATAGGTAGAGTATTTCTCGCTTCAACTTACCAATCAATTGTTTCAATGACTGGGCAGGTTAGGCAAACAAAAGCAATTCGACACAATTACAATACTTCAATCGCAACAACATCGTTGTGTGAAATTTTCAAATGGTTTTCTGATTATTGTGATGCAAAGCTTCAGTAGTGGACGACGATATGGATGATATCGTTCTGAGATCGCCTCGTTCGAAAGGAAAGAATGGCACGAGTCGGAGTGAGACTTCCGTTGTAGTTGTGGAACCACTGAGAGATGCATTAATCAATGTATGTTTTTATTTCAGATACTATAGTGACAGCCTATTTTTATTTCTGGTTCTTTTATATGATATATGGCTAATTCATTCAATCGATTAATGATCACAATTTTCGTTTCGTTGTAATCATTCCTTTTGGAGAAATGTTCGATCGCCAATCAAAACAACTGTGCTCATTTCTGTTTGAATCTGTTGCCATTAGCACTTGAGAATTGAAGAGCGAATTTGGATTGACGAAATATTGCATCTTTACGTCAAATTTTAGATTATTTCGTTTATTGGAAAATGTTTTCGTATGATAGATTGTATTGGTTTGGAATTAGTTCAGGTTTTTGTTTGATTCGCAATGTGAATCACTTTCATTATGTTTCACGAGAGGTTGTATTATCGTTGCAGAGCGTTAAGTTGACTGAGGATGATCTGATTAAAAACGATGGATCAGTGGAAGATTTCACTCAAAAGACAAAATTTCGAACGGCACAAATTATCGTTTGCGGAAGGTGAATTTTTTATTGATCAATATTCATTCAAACGAAATCCGTTGAGGTGTGTGTCGATGTGTTTCTGGTTATAGATAGAGGAATGAAGGAGATGAAAGTAGGAATGCGTTTGTCTGAAGCGTTGTTCCGTGAAAAAATTATTCACTTATAAGAATTATTAATTGCAAGTTTTTTTTTTGCCGATCCTTTTGATTGGATTTCTTATTCAAATCTAGATTACTGTTAGGTGTAATGGTTTGATGGGATAATATCTAATACGCACACAATTGCAGTGTTTCGTTGTGTTCATTAATCTTTTGATTTAGAATACTTTATGTAAATCCATTCGCACTGATCGAATACTCCGATATTGTGGCCAACGTTTTTGAGCAAAGCGGACGCAACTGTAAAATTCAGCTCGATGTGAGTTCTTATTTGTGTTCGTTATCTGCAGATCACTTTTCAATGCAGCATTCAAAGCATCGCTTTATTCTGCATATTTCAACATTTGCAAATTGTGCGCGATCACCGTTGACTGATCGTGGTTGTTGTGCGTACAGTGCATCAATACTTTTCAGTTCCTCGACTTCGACGAACTGCAAACAGCTCTTCGAATTTTTTGCAGAAGTCCTGTTACAGGTCTCAAGGAACGTCTCAACGATCCAAACTGTAAGATTTTTTATCAGTTGTTGCATAGAATATATGAGAATTTTGCCGTGTTGATTTTGCATATCATTGTTTTCATTCTTACCGTTTATTATGTGAAATAGTGATGGTGGCATTCATATCGGTGACCTGATTGTATTGCAGTGGGTCATCGTGAATGAGATTTTCGAGAATTTATCCTCCTTCAACTAGTCACTTTCAGTTTGAGTGTCGCTTTCGCACAGCATTCTTAAAGCGGCCCATTATTCAGTACTCTTTGCGATAGTTTCTTAAAACTTCCGTTTTTTTTTTCACTGAAGTGAGAATCAAAATACGTTGCATTCATTCTCTTTTCTTGTATTCCATTTAACGATTCTTCGGCATTGTGCTAATAATGCTGAAGTATCGTTTAATGTGACATCGAACGTTGCATTGCTCATTAATCATCCGTTTTTGTGCACAATCGATCGGTTTTGTTTGTGTGAAATTTGTCTCAAAGTCAAAAATATTGCTCTTAATTCAGTTTGAACTGTTCTAGCTGTGGTATCACGAAAGAAATGCTGCGCATTAATATCATGTTCTGTGTTTATAAGTGTTCTAAGATCTATTGTTGAATGCGATGATATACCTGATATGGTCGTTCGGAAGGGGTTAGCTTTTGCTACTCT